GAGATAGTGAAAATTGCAAAATTTAGTAGCAGTGTAATTTTTGGATCACTGACCTTGAATTTTCGTCTTTACAAATGGCATAAAATCTTGACAATTTGTAGCTATGCAAATTAAACGGTTTACAGGAATCATAGTGGCTATAGTAAAAAAAAACTGGCAGATCGTTTCCTACCAGAAAGTTAGTGTGGTTTTAGATCTGAACGCTCAACAGTAGACATGATATTCTCATTACGCCAATTACAAGAAAAATGCCGCAAACAACAACTACCCCTGCATATTGCATTAGTGGATCTCACCAAGGCATTTGATACAGTCAGCAGATCTGGACTGTACATGGTTTTGAAACGAATAGGATGCCCACCAACACTTCATCAGTTAGTTGTGTCATTCCATGAAGATATGAAAGCTAGTGTTCAGTTTGATGGCTTAACATCTGACAGCTTTGACATAAGAAGCGAGGTCATTTTTAATTAAAATTTTTAAATTGCATGTCCAGTTGCAGAGCTCTAATTTCAATATGTACTGTGGTTGTATATTTTATTATAGTGACAAAGACATGTGAATCTTTGGAAAAACATAATTTGACACACTTTGCATGAATTTAAAATACAAAATATCAGGCTGGACTCTCATTTTCCTTACACGTAGAACTGAAACTAACTATGTTTTGTCTGATTAATATACAAACATTGAACATTTTTTGTTTCTCATCAGGTGCTATGGCCTTCCTGCCATATGAGGAACCTTCATCTGTGGACTAACATGTTTATGTTCAACTCCGCTCCAGCTTCTCCCGATGATAATTTACATATGCAAATTAGTAGCAATGCAATTGATAACATCACTGCTAAAGTCTTGAAAAGGCATCGTACTCGGTCATGTGACGATATTCACGAAGCAATGAACAAGGATGATGATTCAAGGGCAGTCAATGCTGAGCATCAAACAAGTGGTCTTGTGCGTACTTCCAGTGATCCGAACCTGCGTGAACATGTACACGATTCTGGACTGATGAATGACAATCAGATTGGGAACAGCGTCACAAAGCTGACACAAAGCAGTGAAGGTACGACTGAGAGCTTAGTGACTGCTCCGGAAACATTAACTGATGAATTTACAAGCACTGACAGCGAAAATGGCAATAGTGATTCTGCGGAAGTTGTCGAAAATGGTGTGATTTCAAGCGCGGATGAAGAAGATTTGAGCAATGGAGTAAATGAGGGTGAGATTACATGTAACGGTACTTATAATGGTTTCAAAGAAAGCAGTGAAGATGAAGAAAGTACAGAGTTACAGCCGCTGAAGAACTCTAGTCCAGTTATCAAGATGGTAGAAACGCTTCAAGTGAATGGCACTTCAGGAGAGGAGATAGTTCGAGATAATAACGTCTCCCCAAATGCAATGGAAAGCTCAACTGAAACGTTAACAGGCGATTCAGGATGTAAAATAAACGGAGAAATTGTTACGAAAAGTGTTGAGAAAGACACAAATGAAAATAGCAAAGAGGATGGGCAATCGGATCAACTAGGATTAGAGCTAGTGAAAACAAGCACTGTGAGCACTAGCACTACTGATATCAGTGACTCTTGTATTGATTTGAAAAACCCTAATTTACACGAGCCTGCCAGTCATGGACACTTAGAACATAGGCACATTCCTCAACCTTTAAATTTGCACACCAGTACCAACGATACCAGTAACGGGTGTGTAAATAGTAACTATATGAATGGAAATAATACTAGTCCCACAAACAGCTCAGAATATACTACTCCCAATCTCAGCCCTAGGGTCGAAATTTTGAAAAAAGGCGATTTTGGATGTGCAATCAGCAGTCCGTATCCCCGGCTTGATGCCGATGGTTTGACTTCATTGCCAGATAGCGTTCAGGAGCGGCTCTTTGAAATTGAGCAGAAATACAGGCGTGAATTGGGATACCTGAGAAGAGAGCTTCACATGACAAAATTAGCTTTTCAAAATAATAAATTGCCAGGATTGAATGGCGAAACAAAAGAAGAAACGGTGAGTTATTAACTTTATCTCGACACATCTCGTGTTCTGGAGCAAAGCCCTTCTTAGTTTATAACATGCGTTTTCACTCTGTGCTATAAAGATGCACTTTTAATGTGATTAAAGATATTCTTGTTGAAATATTTGATTATTACGTGAAATACTAATAGAATGAATATGCGCAGATTACGGGGAGCATTTGAAGATTC